GTAATGTATGGGGATTAACATAAGAATAAAAAAATTAAAAAAATATATATTGTCCGAGAGGTGCCTGGGTGGCTCACTCAGTTAAGCGTCTGCCTTCAGCTCAGGTCATGATATTAGGGTCCTGGGGTCGAGTCCCGCACCGGGCTCCCTGCTCAGTGGAGAGTCTGCTTCTCCCCCTGCATCTGCCCCTCCTCCTGTCTCTCTCTCTCTCTCAAATAAATAAATAAAATCTTTAAAAAAATACAATAAAATATCCTCTGAATGGTCTTAGATCTGAGCTCTGCCGGGGACATAAAATCGAGTCTCTGTATGTTCTTAAAGGCCGTCATTTTTGCCAATGTGCGTATTCTGAGTTACTAATCTCTGGTTCATTTCCTTCCGCCTGCTCTGAGCAGATTTGGCTTGAGGGTTTTCTCCTGCAGGAAATGGGGGGAGGAAAATGCCAGCTCTTTTGCAGAGAGAGGTGCTAATGTTTTAAATTAACCAAGTGGTGAGTGGCGGCGAGCTCCTTCCTGCTGGTTAGAAAGTGAAGGTGCTGGACGGCCTCCTGGGGCCACTTTTATCTTAAACAGCCTGCATTGTGCTTCTAATCCCCTCCTGTACCAAGACTTCCTTTGGGAAAACATAATTCTGTTTTTTAAATAGTCAGACTTCTTCTTCTTCTTCTTTTTTTTTTAGTTAGGAGTTGACTGGGTTTGTTTTTTTGTTTTGTTTTGTTTTTTTTGCAGACTCAGAAAATGGGGCTGCAGAATTTCTCACTGGAATTTTGGGTTTTCCATGAGGCTGCACAAAGATGCTTGCAGGGAAGACGGGATAGGCGCGGGTTGATTCAGTCTTTGAAGGCATCCTTCTTGCAGCCTGAGGACCTTCCCGGAGCCCCGGGGTCCTGCCTCTGGCTTTCAGCACGAGATTTGGCACAGACACAACAGATGTCGATGATGCTCTGATTTTATTTTCCTGTTTTGAATTTGAGGAATTCTGAGTGTATATAATGACCCTCCTGGACGGACTCTACCTGACCAGCCACATGGGCAGTAAGTCTACACTGGCCACCCTGCGCCCATGGAATCTGGGATTTCACAAACAGGATGCTGGTGTGCTGACTTTTTTTTTTTTCCTTGTGGTCTCTTTTTCCTTTCGAGCCTTTTTTAAATCTCGTGTCCTCTGTGGGTCACCATGTTTATGCTCAGTATTTAGCACGTGACACCATGTTGGGCTCCTTGCCGTCACTCCTCTGCCAGGGTTGCTTTGCCCATTTTTTCCAGTTCCTCATTTTGTCCCCGTCCACGTAGCAGTGCTCGGGGAAGATGCCACCGTAGGGGGAGAAAGGATTAAAAGTAAATACTGCCAGGCGGCCATGAAAGGGGACCAGCTCAGACACTTGCTACAATGTGTATGAACTTTGCAATTGTGTCTGCTTCTCAGACGCAAAAGGCTACATCGTGCATCAGTCCACTTACATGAAACCACAAGAAGAGACAAATCCTGTTAAAAGAAAGTGGGTTAGTGTTTGCCAGAGATGGGAGGGACCTCGCCTTTTCTGCCAGACACAACCCGTGATGCACCTGTTCCCTGTCCTGACCCAAAGGAAACATCAAAGTCCCATCTTTTATTTTTATTTTATTATTATAATTTTTTTATTATATTAAAAGTCCCAACTTTTAGACAAGCGGGAAATTGTATGTGGGAGCAAAGTTCCCAGAGGCAGGAGGCAGGACCCCTTACGGATGCTCCAGATGCAGAGGCTCCTGGGCCCCACAAAAGACTCCGCTGGGACCCAGAACTGGCCGCAGGTCCTTCGGCTTTTACAGAGATTTGCGTCTCCAGGAGACCCCTTGCTGTTGCCCATTTTGTAAAGGGAATGCTAACGAGAAAGAGGTGGGAGGCGTTCTCTGTCCTTTTTGGAACTAGAAACATTTCATATACATATATATATATATATATATTTTTTTTTAGATTTGTATTCACCCTCACGATGCACAACTGGGACGTTTTTGTGAGCCATTGATTATCTAAGAAAGTGCTTTTTCCTCATCTTGGTCACAAACAGGCCCCGCTCTATTGAAACTTCTTTTCAGACATTTTCCCCAAAAAAACCTCTGAATGGGTTGCCTGCTGGTGGCCTCCTGGTTGGTGTTTTAAGGCTGTCAATCACCCGATTTTTATGCAAATCCCAGATTTTTCTGCCTGGATGTTTTAAGGGGCTCTTTGTCATCCCTGTAATTCTTAAGCTGTTACTCTTAGAACAGGCTTTGGGCTTTCGGGGCAGCCCCTGCTCCCTCCAGGTCTTTGCCGATCATCCTTGTTTCAAAATACATGTTTGCTTTTGTTTTAGGATTCCCAAGCAACTGGGTTTTTTTGTTTTTGTTTTTGTTTGGGGTTTTCTGTTTGTTTGTTTGTTTGGTTTGTTTTGTGGAGCAAAACCTTTTCACAAGAAAGGGTTTCTATAGACTCAGATGTGGAATGTGTTCTACTTCCATTTCTAGGAAAAAACAACAAAAAAAATCCTTCTATTATTTCCTATGGCAGATTCCTGAGTGCAGGCCTGGCTGGACTCTCAGGAATATTCATGCATCTTGTCTCCACTGCGGTCCCTCCCCATCGCCCAGTGCCCTATGGCTGCTCACCCCCTTCCATCCCTGGTGACACTTGTTGGGGAAACTTAAACACAAAATCCACCCCCCAACCCAGGAAGCCTCCCCTACACAGACAAAACAGCTGTATTACTTCATGAGCATTAATACAAAGCATTCACAATTAATCACACATCAACCAAGACCACCCAAATGAGGACAAACGAGGCTCCGGCCAGAGTGTCGGCCACCAGCTCTCACCTTTGGCAGAGCCTCAGAGTCATGCAGAGGAGTGGGAAAACTTTATTGTGGTGCAGGCAGCAATACCACTTTTGTCTACACTCTTAAGTTCTGTCAGCGGGGCTGTGCAAATTAAACTGACAGAACACAGATTAACTGAGAAGAGGAATGCACGTTCTATAGGCTGTTTAAAATTTTAGGTGGCATGACATGGGCGTCTTGATAGAAAGAAGAAAATGTCCCCAAAGAGGCAGTTAGACCTGAGACTTTGTGTACCATTTTTCACAAAGAGCACATACATCGTGCAGGAAAAGATTTTGAGACTGCTAAGAGCAGCAAATTTGGGGAAGACAGATATTTGAATGGACACTATTGGAAGAGAAGGTTTATTTGGTAGGTTTGTTTGTACAGGTCCGTCTTGGTGCCGAATTTCTGTCTTCTTCATGGTACTAAAACTTCCCCCAGAGAGAGAGGGGACTGTGTCATGTGTGTTTCTAGAAGTTTCTGCTGTTAGTCCAATGAGGGAATCTCCAGGAAGGTTTCTTTCTGTATCTGTTGGTTCTCGGTTGCTTCCGCCTCAGAATAATCCTTACACCACATTGGAAGCAGGGACAGAATTAGGGACATTGTTGGTGTTACTCAAGTCCTGGCCATTGTGAGCTCCGTGCATTATTGCAGGGATAACGGTCTCCTGTGCATCTCACGTAGCAGGACTTGTGGGCTGATTTTTATAGGCAACAGGTAGGTTTCCTGCAGGTCGTCAGGCCGAGTTCTGCTCTGTACCTGAGGAAGGCAATCATTTGGGGGAACAAATGGAAGGTTTCGGCGAAGTTTGTCCTGCAGATTGGGGTCCATCTCTGGGCTGGTGGGTGTCTAGAATTGTCTCTCCACTGGTGAGATTCACTCTGCCCTTCCCGGTCGGACAGATGGGCTGATGGGGTAGGGGCACCTTCTGAAAAGGAAATGTGTGCCCTGGTTTTAGGCAGACAGGAGGGCAGAGAGCTTTCATGTGTGTGTGCATCTGCTGTTTGTCAGATGTGCCCAAGTGGCCTTTTTGGGGTGATGTGTTCCGAACCCTCTAGAGCACCAGAGGTGGGGGGGGATTCTCGATAATCGATTGAGCGGGATTCTTTGCCAAAGCTGGGCTCTGCAGGCCAGGCATGAGACCCAGTGTGCAACAGGCCTCAAAAGGGGTCCGAGTGATATTTGATCCAAGACGGGGAGGTCCTTGTTGCGGACGCCCCTCTGTGGACCTCTCCCGGGACGGAGTCGGGTCCAGGGGAGCCTGAAGCCAACGCATGACCTATATAGGTTCTTGATGATTCCCTTTCTAGGTCAGAGAGGACAACACGTACTTCTGCATCTTCCCTAACTGCGTGCTTCACAGGGGGGCCCAGCTGACTGTGAACGTCACCTGTGATGGGATCGTGTCTCAGGAATTCCTGCTTTTTGAGAACCGAGGTGAGGTCCCTGCACTGGTGAGCTCCCGGCTCCCGCCACGCCCCACAGGTACGCATGCCTGTCACCACTCAGGGGCTGTGGGGGGCGGTGCAGCCGCTGAGGATGTTGGTCGGTGTCTTCCCAGGCAGAGAAGGTTCCGGGGCCGTGAACTTTTCCTGTTTCATTTACAACGTCCGCCTCATGAACTGCAGCTGGGTGCCCGGCCCCCGCGCCCCAGCTGATGTCCGCTATCAGCTCTTCTGGTGGACCTCCTTGTAAGCCGGGAGCCTTCCCTCCGAGCACCTGGGATCTATGTGGGGACCGTAGTGGGAAATGCCAAGCGAGCCGTGGGGTCCCTGGGGGTGCCTCCCCGAAATGTCCCAAAAATCACAGAACCCTGGGAGGAGAAGGGCTTTACCTTTGCTGCCGCCTGGCTCCGAAATGCAAACCCCCATCCCGTCCTAAAGAGGGAGGAAATCCACAGTTTCACGATTTTATCGTGCACGGAATGGGTTGTAATGGGTTCACCCTGTGAAGGGCGGGATCTGTCCCTGTCCGTGCCACGTCTTGGCCGGTTACCTGGGATGCATATCCCGTTCTGGTTTTGTGCTTATTCGGGGACAGATTTGTGTCAGTTTTTTTTTTTTTTTTTTAGAGTGTTTTCTGGGTTGGGGAGGAGATTTCATTGTTGATAATGTCTGCCCAGAAGGATACCCAGTCAGGCTTTTCCTGTGCCCCTTTTGCAAATGACAGGGACAAGGATGAGGTGGAGTGCGTCCACTACATCATGGACCCCACGGGGACGCGCGTGGGCTGCCATTTCGATCAACTTGGTGAACCCCAGAATATGGATAATTACTTCTTCCTGGTGAACGGGACCAGCAATGAGACGGCAATCCCATTTTTGGACTTTGTTCCATTTGAAGCCCGTAAAATGGGTAAGGGGCTCCCTGGACGTGTGTTCTCCCCCACCTCCCACCCAGGAGAGCTGGCTTCACTCATCTGGGCTCACACCACCGCCGTGTGGGAGGCAGCGCTGGGTTCTGGACCAGCCTGAGCGAGATCCAGAATCTGCACTCGGAGTCTGGGAAAAGGGAGAGAGAGACGGGCACGGTGGTCCCGACTGTCCCCTGGCAGTGGGATGCAAGAGAGACACGTGTTCTGGGGTGGCTGAGTGATGGACCTTGGGGAGGGTACGTGCTATGGTGAGCGTTGTGAATTGTATAAGACTGATGAATCACAGACCTGTACCCCTGAAATAAATAATACATTATATATTAATTTTTAAAAGTTCTGGAAAAAAGAGAGAGGCATGTGTTCATGTCACGTACCCATTTTTGCTAATTTTTGAAAATTCCCTGCAAATCCTGAATTTGCAAATCCTGACTCATCATGGCTGCCGGGGTGGAAATACAGGGTTCATTGTGTTTTATGTGGGTTTCTGTTTAAAGACATCTTACGTAATGTACATTGCTGTTGAATTAACACCGAACGCGAGGCCCACAGCCCTATACCTCAAGCCTGAACAATGCTTACATAATGCGTGTATTTTCTCCAAGAGGCACATCATGGCCTTCTTGTGTGTAGGAATGCAAAAGAAGAAAAAAGTTTTCCTCTACCCTCTTAGGTTCTGTACACGGGCCTTGCAAATTAACCTGACAAGCACTCTACTAACAGGAGAAAAGCATACAAATGTAATTTCAATTTTTAAGTTTGATATGCATGGGGAGAGGGCTTCATAGAAAATAAATGAGAACCTCCCAAAGAAGTAGTTAGACTCGGGGACTTATACACCATTTATTTCTTTTTCTTTTCTTTTTTCTTTTTAAAGATTTATTTATTTATTTATTTATTTGAGAGAGTGAGAATGAGAGAGAGAGAGAGAGAGGGAGTACATGAAGGGGGGAGGGTTAGAGGGAGAAGCAGGCTCCTCGCTGAGCAGGGAGCCCAATGCGGGACTCGATCCAGGGACTCCAGGATCATGACCTGAGCCGAAGGCAGTCGCTTAACCAACTGAGCCACCCAGGCGCCCCTACACCATTTATTTCTATTTATTTATTTTTTTTTACTTATCTACCATTTTAATAAAAATCAATTAATTGTGGAGTTAAAGAATAAAGGATTTGTGCTTTTAGAGGTGGTAAATATATAGGGAAAGCAATGGGAGAGAGAGTTATATTAGTAAGGTTTGTTTGTGCAAATTCATGTTGGTGCTGACTTTCACGGACAGAAAACTTGCCCAGAGACAGGATTCATGGCAATCCAAATTTCTCGGAAGTTTCTGGTTTTAGTTGGATAAGGGAATCTCCACAAAGGCTTCGTTCTGCATCCGTGACTCTCAATTGCCTTTAGTCCCAAATAACCCGTGTGCCAAAGTGCCCTATTTTGGAGGTGAACTTCCTGTCCCCTTCGTGCACATCAGACAGCATTCCAGTTGTATGCTTGGGGGCCATTTTAAACGGTGACATCGCCCACCCAAAGCACAAAAGCAGGAACAACACCACACTCAACAGGCCACGGAAGGGGTGCTTGTTTGCAAAGAAAAACGGGACACGTTCCTACCGAGGCACATCCCGCCAGAACCCCCTGTTTGACTGCTCTGTGTTGCAGATTTAAAACATGCTGGGCTGTTTGCGAGGTTTTTTGTTGTTGTTGTTTCTGCTTCATTTTCCATAGAGAAGTATGACCCGCCAATAAACATCACGATCTCCTACAACAGATCGCATCACATTATCCAGTGGGAGAATCCCGAGATCAGATATGAGCTTTCGAGTCACGTCTTGTATTATGAGCTGGATATCCAAAGAGCGGTAAGAACCCCCATGTTCGGCCCTGTCTTCTCGTGCCGAGCTCAATCCCGGCTCACGGGCAGGCGACTCTGTTCCGGAGAGTTGTTCTCTGGGAGCTCCTGTGGTGTTTTTGCCCTAAATGGGCGGCTCATTCTTTTTTTCTTCCCACCCCCATGAAATCGCTTCTCTGTTTTTATTTTTTAAAGTAATCTCTATGCACAACGTGGGACTCGAACTCAGGATCCCAAGATCAAGAGTCACACACTCGTCCGACAGACCCAGCCAGGGAGCCCCGAAATAGTTTATTATTTTGAGTCGTTTTAGGTTCATAACAGAACTGAGGGAGAGGTAAAAGGGTGTCCCGCACACCCCCTGTGTGCACGCAAACACGGTCCGCCCCATTATCAGCGTCCCTACCAGATGGTGCATTTGTCGTAATCGGCAAACGTGCATGAACGCCTGTGCCTCACCCAGAGTCTGTCATGGGCAGTAGGACTGGCTCCTGGTGGTGCCCATTCTGTGGGTTCGGACAAATGCACAGCAGGATGGACGCATCGTTACAGGGCGTTCTAGTCCCACGGCCCTAAAAATCCCCTGTGCTCCACCCGCTCGTTGCCTCGCCCCCTGGTCACAGTCCCCTTGGTCCAGCGCGTCAAAACCACCATACCCGTGATGTCTTTACCGTTCCCATTAGCTGCCTTTTCCAGAACATCAGAGTTGCGACCCCACAGGACACAGCTCCTTTTGTGACCTTTTTTGAAGCAAAACGTGAAAATGGGCTGAGAATGGTTGGCTCACGGGAGGTGCAGGGGGTGTTCCCCCGAATCTTTAGCTCACCCACCTGCTCCCCGTCCCCTCAGCCCACTCGTGCTGAGGGAGCTTCCGCAACCTGAGATCTGGATGCATCCCCGACTCCTGGAAGTTGGGGACTTTCCACCAGGCACTCAGCATCTCTGTTTCCCCACGGCCTGGGGCCTCAACCTGCACCCCAAGCCCAGAGCTAGAGGCAGAGGGTTACTCCGGTGCCCCTGCTGTGGGGGTTTGGTCCCGAGCACCCCAGACCCTGGGGCCTTTGCACATACTGCTCCCTCCATCCCCAAGTGCTGGGTCCTCCTCCAAGTCCACCAAAACACCGCCTGCCCCGCCAGGCTCTCTCGATTCTGCCTCCTCGTCCGATTTCTTCCCAGCGCCGATGTGGGATCGGCCACTGCCTGAAACATTCTTGTGCCTTTCCTTCTGCCTCTCGCCTCCCGGAAGCAGGTTCCCTGAGCGCAGGGACTCTGTCAGTATGCGTACGCCGACGGCAGAGCCGGGCACACCGGGGGTGCTCAGCACATCTTGCTGCATGAGTGAACGTCAGGATTGTCCGTGGGTGGCCCACGTGGCAAAGCAAGAGCCCCCTGTCCTCCACACGGGACCCACCACAAGCCCTGGATCTGAGTCCCCGCTGCCTCTCCGGGGGGTCCACCTTCATCCACGTGCCCCGAGGCACCCACTGGCCCCATCCCACACCCCGTATGGCCCTTGACGTCACAGTTTGGCACACGCTTGAAAGCTCTGCAGGTGACCCCCAGGCCCAGCCCAGGTGTGAACCACTTAGCTGTGGGCATCTTTCAGAACAGAAATTAGGTCGTTTCCCTTTGGTCCTGAAAACCCTTGCCGGGTGGGGTGTGGTGGGTCTTGGGTCAGGGCCCTGGATGTGGCCGCCGAGACTCTGTGGTGTCTGCCCACCGGCATCCTCCTCCCTGGTGCTCATGTGACATCAGCCAGGTGACCTCACGCAGGTGACATCACACAAATGACCTCATACAGGTAATTACACACAGGTGAGTTATGACCTCACATAACTGACCTCACACAGCTGACCTCACACTGGTTCCCCACCGGCGATCTCAGGCAGGTGATAACACACGTGACCTCACACAAGTGTGCAGCCCTGAGCATCCTGTGCATGTCAAGCCCCAGGCGCCAGGACCACCAGGAACAGCAACCCTTTGGTAGCGAGCTCCCCTCTGGCTTTCTCCGCAGAACCTCGTGGGTGCACGCAGTAAATGTTGGAGGGGGTGGACGGTCGCTGAGGCGGTCAGTCCTTACCAGACATTTGAACATTCACGGATGCAGAACAAAATTCTACTGGAGGCGCTGCCTTCTCATCCCTCATTAATATGCCCGGAGCAAACTCACCAGCCAGAGATAAATTCACAATAAGGAAACTTTGTGTTGAGGAGGAAAAGCTGTTCCTCTACCCTCTTAGGTCCTGAACCTAGGGGCTGCAAATTAAATAAAAGGGAGCTGAACGGGCAGGGCAGGGGGGAGCAAAAGGTCCTCATATGCATATGAGAGCTCACAAAAGAAGTGACTCTTGAGTAGCTCAAGTCAGGGGCTTGAACAAATAGGGGATAAAAACAATTGTGATGATGTTTGTCGAGGCAGGTACCAGGGGTCTTTTTTGTCTTCTTCATGGGCATAGAACTCCCCTGGAGATGGAACTGATGATACGTTCACCGTCCTTCCTGGAAGTGAAGTCTCCCCAAAGGGGGAATTCATGGCACGCCTCATTCCCAGTCTTCTGCTCTTTGGCAGATAAGGGAAGTTCTGAGAAGGCTTCTTCATACCAGTTCTGGGGTTCCAGGTGGGTTCCCACATTTGCATACAATGCTGAAAACACAGATGGTAACAATCTTTCCTTTTTTACAGGGCAGCGCCTCCAAGACAAACCCCGTAAGTATCTCTTCCTCTCTCTGCGACTCCTGTGCTTGGGCCCAAAGGCAGGTCAAACTTCAGGGTTCACTGATCACCTCGGCTGTGGGGTCCCAATTAGCCCCTTAGTGGCCGTCAGGCTTTTAGTCTCGGATTGAGAAGCTGTGTTTTCTTGAAAGCCTCTGACTCAGCTCAAGTCGCTGCTCATCATCCACCCCGTGGACAGAGCAACGTCCTTCTTCCAGACCCCGTCCTCGGACGTTTTCAGTTCAAAGATTGTCATGAGCTGAACAGTGTCCTGCAAAAATGCATGTCTGCCCAGAAGCTCAGCATGGGGTCTTATTTGGAAATAGGGTCTTTGCAAATATCAGTGAAGGATCTGAGATGAGCTCATCCTGGATCAGGGTGGCCCTAAATTCAATGACAAGGGTCCTTGTAAGAGACACAAGAGGAGACACGGACACAGAGGAGAAGCCACCTGAGGATGGAGGAAGAGACGGGAGGGACGCGGCCACAAGCCCAGGGACACCTGGAGCCTCAGAAGCTGGAAGAGGCAGGAAGGACCCTCCCGTGGAGCCTCGGGAGGGAGCACGGCCCTGCCCCGCTGGATCTCAGTGGTCCTGCCCCACCTGGATCTCAGACTCTGGTCTCCAGAGCCGGGAGAGGAGAGGTTTCTGTGGTTTTAAGCTGTGGGGTATGTGGCTGCTGGTCACTGCAGCCTCAGGACACTCTCGCACATAGATGAGCATCCCCTTGTACCCTCTCAAGGGCAGCAGCAACCCCCCCCCCACCTCTCAGATGCTCTCTCATCCATCACCTGGGTTCCTGAGGTGTTACCTGCTCCCAGGGGATGCCCATGCCGCTGATGGGATGCTGCCCGTGGACCACACCTGCAGCGGCCAGGACAAGTGCAAAGAAGGGGGGGTGCAGCAACAGGTGTGGCTTCCCAATGCCGAGGGGCCTCTCCTTGGGAACTAGGGGGAAATCCCGCTGTTGCCCTCAGCTTTTGTTTGCATGGGCTGACCTGGAAGATCCCTGGGTCCACGCCGGCCCCTCTGGTACCTGCCCCAGGGCTGCTGTGGCTGAGCGGGCAGGTAGCATGGGATCCACAAGGTCTAAAAGGATTGGCACAGCTGATAAAGGCAAGATACTTCAGCCGTGGACACGTGAGAAGAAACTGGGTTCTCTGAGGCGAGAGGAACAGTCAAGAACATGTCCCGGGGCTTCAGGGTTGTGCGAACTTGGGTCACAGTCCATCTTCATACCTAGGCTGCAAAGAAACACCGCGGGCTCTGGAACGAGCCGGCTGGCAGGGACTCTGTGTGTCCCACTCAGCTCCGGCCCCAGGACGTGGTTGGATGAGACTGGGATTTGCACCGGGGCATGCCGAGTGAGGAAATGCATCCCCGTTCCCCTGTGGACCCTGCAGGCCATGCTTCTTTTCCTCACTGACCACCTAGTGTTCTGGTCAGTCTTACTCTGACAGTGTCTGCAGACCTGCACATCCCCGGACACCAGGATGCACATCCCCTGTGCAGTGACAGAGAGATGGCCCTCATCCAGAGGGACAACAAGGGACCTGTCCCAGAACTGGCCTCATTTTGGCCCCGGGGGACGGCAGAAGGGGAGGGCAGACCCTTGGTGCCCAGCGGTTGGTGTCTGATTCAGAGTCCAGTTGTGCCCCTAGGAACCGGAATCAGAGTCCAGTTGTGCCCCTAGGAACCGCAAGGCCAGGTGGGGCTCCTGCCCTCCCCACCCCCGGCTGCCAGTGTTTAGATTTGGAATAACCGCAAGCCAGGTCCCCAGGGCGTGGGCACTCTGCGCGAGGGGTGGAGCGCAGCTCGGGGAGCCGTGGGGCCCAGGCGTGGAGTCCACCTCCCCAGGGAAGAGCCCCTTAGGGCCCCTGCTTGGGGCCAGACGGACGGACCGAGGCCCCGGGCGTCAGGCGTCAGTCGTCCTTGAACGGACCCCCAGAGCTCACACTCCAGGGGACGCTCCCGCCTCTCGCCTCACCAGCGCTGCTCACAGACCGTGCCTTCTTCTCTTCAAGGTTTTCCAGAGGGGACAAGATCCGAATGTGTACCTGATGCCCCGTTCTGCCGTCAGGCCAGACACCACGTTCCGAGTGAGGGTGCGCTACCTGCATAATGAGCTCTGGAGCGAATGGAGCCCGACGCTGCGTCTTGGTGAGGGCCCCACTCCCCGCGCGCGGCGGAGGGATATTCTTTGGGGTCCCCTTGCACGGTTCCTCTTTTGGGTCTTACGAGGACACCTGCCATTGGATCCAGGGCGAGCTCATCTGGGACCCTTCACTTCATCACACCTGTGATGATCCTGTTCCCATAAGGTCCCGTTGCCAGGTTTCGGGGATAGGGCGCACGCATCTTTTGGGGGATGCTTTGAGCCCGCGGCAGCCCCCCCAGCAGAGGGGCTCGGGGACGTCCCTGCCGGCTCTCTGCCAAAACACACCATCTGCAGCATGTCCCGCTGCCCTGTACGCCCTCCCGTGTTCCGGGTCACCCTGGGAGGACGCATCCCCAGACCGAACCACAGAGCACCAGCCCCCTGGGCTACTGTTCCCTTAGCCCCACTCAGGCGTCTGAAAGACCCCGGTCGCCGGCCACCCCCAACCCAGCGGTGTCCCCCTCCCCCGAGGGGTCAGCCAGGGCCCAGGGGTGCTCCATCCATCTCCCTGGGTGCTCCGTCACCCCCTCTCCTTTCTGGGGTCAGGGACGGGTATCCCAAAGCCAGTGGTCTTCAGCGTAGCAGCCCCCATCACGCAGAAGTGCTGGCGGCAGGAAACACAAATGTAGGTTCATGGCGCTCTGGGGGTCTCGGGGGTCCTTCACCGGGCCTCTCAGCGCACCTGCTTGCAGGGACAGCGGAAACCCCACAAGGCAGGGGTCCACTCGGTGCGCCCCTCCAGGGGTCCCACACATCCGTTCTGGGGGGCGACAGGGCATGAGCTTGAAGAACGCACCAGCTTGATGCCTAACAGCTCCACAGGCTGGCAGCCCCCTCCCACGGGGGCCCCGAACGCACGTGTGGGGCTCGTTCTTTCCAGAAAACGGGTTCACAGCCTGCAGAAGCTGCACAGACCGCACAGGTCAAATCAGGGTTCCCCAAGGAAAGCCTGCAGGGCAACAGGAAACACACCTCTGTCCCACCCTGGAGTTTCACAGTTACGCATTCATTCCTTTGGCTACGCAGCGCGGTGTGGAAAGCGAACGTCCCTTGAGAAAGAATGTGTTGCGCGGTATTAGCTGTGTCCTGGTGCCAGTGGATACGGCGGGAGCTCTCTCGTGAGCAAGGCGTGGAGGGAACGGGCAGGGATGGCCAGGGGGGCGGGGTGGGCACAGGACCGGAGGGAGGGTCGTCCGCTGCAGCCCTGCTCCCCGCAACACGCCCTGCACCCATAATCGGGTAACAGCGTCGAGGGGGGGCGGGTGCGCGCAAAGCTGACCGTCCGTCCCCCCGCGCGTGCACGCGCGCGCGCGCGCGCGCTTCTGACCCTCAGCTCCTCTTCCCGCACTAGGCCTCCCGCAGCAGGATTTCCGCCGCGTCCTGGTCGAGGTGGTGGTGGCGGCCACCGCTGTGCTCGCTCTGGTCCTCATGTGCTTGTGCAAATGGTGAGCCCCCAACACTGGCGCCAGGAACCCCCACTCCCCACCGGGGCGCAGGACCCCGTGCCTGTGGAATGCCCAGGGGAGGGTGAATCCGGAGTCAAGGCGCCGATTCCAGGGAATCTGAGGGCTGGGGAGGAACAGGGAGAGACTGCC